CCCCCCCCCCCCTTGAAAAATAAAATTCCCCCCCCGTCACTAAAGTGCTAGTTGCACCCCTGATTAGGATCTGGACAAATTTCTTGATACTTCTGCCAATTTTTAAGGTTTAAAAACACTAGACCTCATATTTTAAATCCCTAGATTAGAATCTTTTGTTGGGAATTGTTTTACTCGAATACTACTTAAAGCTAGAAATTGTGTTAATGAAAAAATGTCGCATGGATCAAAGACAATTCAAAATATTTATTTATATTTATATTTACATTATATTTACATTATAAATAGTTGAACGTATTCCATACCATCCGAACCAGTTCATATATTTCTCTCCATTCGGATAGGACAGATAAGAAAACTATAAATAATATTTTTGAGGACTGTTCCCTGGAGTAGAGAGATAGCAGGGGTGTCAAAAACCAAGATTTCTCAATTGTTGTCTGATTCTTACAGGAATCAAAAGATCTCAAAATTATTTTATAATAAAAGTTATGTATTTATAATATTTGTTATAAATTGTTTTGTCAGTAAATATATTTTTTATTTTCCAATGTCTTTAATATATTGCATGTATTGAGAAGGAAAAGGTTCACTGTAGAATAGGTAATTTTATTAATAAAGGAACTTATTGTTCTTGTCTCAAAATCTGATTTTTTAATCCCTATATCTTTGCAACCTTTAATATGTTAAACTATAAATTTTGTTAGATTAAAAAGTCTTAAGTTTGAAACATCAAAGGTTTACACCATTGCAGGCTGGTGGCAAAGATATAGGGATTAGAAAATTTTAGACAAACAGGGCTTAGGATCCATTTAATTTATATGGAAATCCGCCCTGAAAAAAATGGATCTAAATCCAGTTTATGAAAAATGTTCGAAATATTTTCTTTTTCACTTGAGGAGTGTCGTTTTTAATTCAAGTGTCAGCCTTGATATGAGTGATCATTTTTAGGACTAAAATAAGTACGATTTTCTCTTCTTTTTAAGCTTTTATTTACTTTTTTCTCAATCATTTCTTTTTTCATTTTAAACTTTTATCTACAATTTTCAAAAAAAAAATTCTCTTTCATTTTTTCACATTAATCTATTTCTCTATCTTTCTATTTAACTTTCTATCTATTTATCAATTCCATCAATCTATCTATCAATCTGTCTATATGTTAATCCAAAGTCTTTGTGTTTTCCTATCTTTCTAACTATTTGTTGACGCGAAGCTCGTCCATTTCTTAATATTAGGCGATCTTTCTATTAATCCTTTAACTAGGTAATAGCTAAAACATATATAAGAGCCACTTCTGGGATTTTAAATTATGTTGATATCACTGTGGTTCCAGAGTGATCTCTCAAAGTTGGTGCTGTATAAAGCGTAACTTCTTTTTATTTCATTACGTCTTTTGTTACGTTTTTGACGTTTTTTCATCAGATTGGTATGAAAACATATATGCAGCCAGGTAGACTATTATCTGTCTCCACAATTTACCAAGCTTTATGTTGAGACTTTAAGAAAATTTTAAAATTTTGAAAGTGTCCGATCTTTCTCAAAACTGAAATGCAGGTGCATTGAAACATTGTGATACATTTTGAGCTAGGTGGTTGACCATTTTGAAGCTTCCTTTTTGCGTTTTTGAGCAATAATAAGGTAAACAAATTAACCTTTGACACAGAGCTCTCCCATTTCATTTTTCTACATTTTTCCCTTCCATGCCACATCTTACGGTCTTCCATGGCACAGCATTTGAGTCTTCCGACAGTTATTACATTTTTAAATGATAAATTAAGTGCATTGAAATCATTGAAATTGTGATTTTCAAAATCCAGCGATGTCATGCAAAAGATATATATTAAAAGAACTTGATATCTAAATTTTAAATTGAAATAATGCCGATTCAATGGAAATTCTTAAACGAGATGAAATAATCCTGATGCATTTTTAAACTCAGGTCATGTAAACTCCCAAAAATAAATTCAGTCTTTCCGGTCATGTTACCTTGTTCAGAGGGCGCCCATAACCGAAAATTTGCACTATTTTACGAGAAAATTGCAAAAAAGAATTTATTTTTGAGGAAATCTGTAACGCTGAGGTAGTGACAGTAAATATTGTGATTTTTCTCATCTTTTCTTTTTCTTTAGACTGACTCAAACAACTTGCCCTGGTGCTCACAATGCGTAAAATGATGTAAAATTTGCTTTATATAGTGAAAAGCAGTTTATAAACTGAACACACAATTCATGGACCTTTCAATAAACTTCTAAAATTTCTTAAAGGTATGAATATGATCTTTTGCGTAATGCGGCAGGATTTTAAAAATTGCAATTCCAATGCCCTAAATTTATCATTTAATAACGTAATAACTGACGGAAGACTGCTGTTGCATGGAAGACCGTTTGGTTGTGGCTCATGGCTGCAGGAAGACAAAAAAGATAATATGTGGACTGGAAGGGGAAAATGTTGCGGATTATGGCCGCCAGCCTTCCCCCGCTCTCAACACGTACTATAAATACAAATAAATATATATACTTAAAAAGCAATGTTATACAGTANGAATCCTTATTTACGCCACTGAATTGTTGTATTTTCATTTTTTACTTACCATTAACATGAATTACATGATTTCAACTTTTGCCCCATAAATTCCAAAGGGGGGCGAACGGACTATTGCCCCCCCCTCTGTTTACGCGCCTAGAAAATAATTATCTAAAAAATTTGCACTGCTAGTGCTACCATAAAAAAGTGGTATGAAATGAAGGAAATTTAAAGCCTTAAGACTAATGTGAGTAAATCTACAGATATCATAGGAAAAGATGTATTTACAAGTGAAAAATGAACAAATAAAAATGATACTATAATAAAGCTCTGAAAGCCGTAGCTCTCTTACGGAATCTCTGCCTTTCATTTGCCTTGTACTCCTTGTACTCGACGAGTTAATCTTCCGTCTTCAGACTCTTTGTGATTACTGACTTCATTTCGGATTTAGCTTAAGCCAAACCTAGTTTCTTCTTCCAAGCCGTGGTTCATGTGACCATGTCTATATGACTTGAATTTGGATCTGAGGAAACGGTGACTTCGGTTTTCCACGCGTTCAAACATGTGTTAAAACATGTGTTCAAACATGTGTTCAAACATGTGTTCAAAGCTGCAAGCATGTTTTCTGGGTTGGCATTTTCAAATGACAAATATTTCTCCACGTTGGAGACTTATCATCCGCCCCACTTTCTGTTCAACCTAATAGCTATACAAAAGAGCTATAATACGTTGTCCTGTTTATAAGCCGGACCACTTGCAATATGAGCTTAGCTCCATGGTTCGTATGAGGACTGATGGGGTTATATCAATGGAACTATCCAATCTGAGTTTAACCCCGAATTCGAATGAGAACTGAGGGGGTTACATCAATGGAACTATCACTATTCCGGGCTGTCGAGCTCACACCAGTTACAGTACTTAGTGATTAAGGTGAAACAATTACAAAGACGACATTTAAACACAACTTTCATGGGTTCAAGTGTACACTTAACTCCCTTCTCTCCTTCCTAGTCCTCTCTCTCTCTCTGACTCTCTCTCTCTTCACTGTTTATAAACCTTTACGAGAGCTGTGAATAAGAATACACCTGTGACATTGTGAAGTTATAAAGATGCTAACATGACCGTGAAAGAAGTAACACCGCCGCCATTGACCAACGCTAGGCAAGGACAAGGGTAGGATAAATCTTTTTATTTATTTATGAAAAAATATATTGCAAACAGCTGATTATTTTTTATCTGTTAAATCAAGGAAACGTGTCATAACTATAAACCCTGTCATCGTTTATGTTTTTCAGTTCTAGTGATTATAATCACTTGGGCGTGAAGCCCTGTCCATTTTATAGGCTGTTAAAATATTTCAAACCTCAATGTAAAGTTTTGCCTCTAAACTAAACCAATTACTGAACAACTGTTTTCAATCCTACGAAAAGTTTTCTGATCCACATCCCTCTCGCTACCCCCTTCCTCTTCATTAAATTATGTACATGAAATTAAGGGTCTGTTATTGCTACAATACAATAGTAATTAATATGTTTGATAATTTTGATATTAATTTTTGAGGGAGGCCCCCAGAATTCAAGCATATTTAATCAATCAAAATTAAAACTTAAAGCAAGTGAATTGTAAGCCATGCAATTTCTACTGTCATGAGAAACAAGATGTAAATATTAAGTTGGTCAAATCGGTAAAATGATCATGATGAATTCGTTTACTGTTATATTGTCCTAGCAGTTAGTTTTATTTGATTTCAGGTCCCGCAGTAACAACGCTCAGCGCCCCAAGTCTGTACAGCAGTGGTCTGTAGTTGATGTACAGAAGTGGCTTCGTAGACATTGTGGAGATTATTATCATCTGTACTGTGAAGCATTTTTGGAGCAGGACGTTACAGGTTAGATTATTTCTATTTATAAAGGGTGATTCTAAAAAAAACACACAAGATGGTAAAAATAAATATTAACCAAAAAATAGATAGAAGATTGCCAAAAGCTCATTAAATGTTAAGAACAGGATCCTGTAAGATTAATTGATGGAAAAAATAATGACAAAACATCTGAACCCATTTTGAAATGACACATCAAGGTTTGTATACAAGCCAGTGCTGGAGAAATGAAAAAGTGACTATTTTCTAGTAGCTTGTTTCTAATCAAAACCCATCACACAAACAATTTTTTTTAAGCTTCATTTGTCATGTTTAATACAAAAAAAATAAAATCGCATGGAAGATATTATGTATGTAATAAGGGTAATAATATATATATGGAATGAAGAAATATTGTAAAGTAAGGACCAGGTAGAAGAGAGATAATGGAAAGTAAAGAACCTGGTGGAAGAGAGATAATGGAAAGTAAAGGACCAGGTAGAAGAGAGATAATGGAATGTAAAGAACCAGGTAGAAGAGAGATAATGGAAAGTAAAGGACCAGGTAGAAGAGAGATAATGGAAAGTAAAGGACCAGGTAGAAGAGAGATAATGGAAAGTAAAGGACCAGGTAGAAGAGAGATAATGGAAAGTAAAGAACCAGGTAGAAGAGAGATAATGGAAAGTAAAGAACCAGGTAGAAGAGAGATAATGGAAAGTAAAGGACCAGGTAGAAGAGAGATAATGGAATGTAAAGAACCAGGTAGAAGAGAGATAATGGAAAGTAAAGGACCAGGTAGAAGAGAGATAATGGAAAGTAAAGGACCAGGTAGAAGAGAGATAATGGAATGTAAAGAACCAGGTAGAAGAGAGATAATGGAAAGTAAAGGACCAGGTAGAAGAGAGATAATGGAAAGTAAAGGACCAGGTAGAAGAGAGATAATGGAATGTAAAGAACCAGGTAGAAGAGAGATAATGGAAAGTAAAGGACCAGGTAGAAGAGAGATAATGGAAAGTAAAGGACCAGGTAGAAGAGAGATAATGGAATGTAAAGAACCAGGTAGAAGAGAGATAATGGAAAGTAAAGAACCAGGTAGAAGAGAGATAATGGAAAGTAAAGGACCAGGTAGAAGAGAGATAATGGAATGTAAAGAACCAGGTA